GAACAGAAAAGAGACTTGCCAAAACATAAAATTTATCAAGTGATGTGTTAGATTGGCTTTGCTTCTAGTGTGTAAATGGAAGCACTGACCTTAGATTGAATTTAACAACTAAGAATAAATAAAGAGGAAAATTAATCTCTTGTATTCTTGTTTCTTCCTCAAAAAGTCAGTTGACATGTAATCGGTAATCAATCCAGGTGAAAATGTAGGATGCTCAAGTTATTATGGCCTAAGAAATCTAAATAAATGTCCATCTGCCTGATTCAGCGAATTATTGGATGCCTTAACAGGAGCCTCTGACATCAAGATTCACAAAGAAACCTAAAAAAATCCAAGTATTGGGGAGTTCCTTGCCCAACTGACATGATCAAATACTTCTTCATGAAAGATTTTCTCCAAAGAAGTAGGAGGGATATACAGATTTCCTACATCCATCTGTTCATTACAGATGACATAGCTGTTCATTATGAAGTATACAAAATAAGAGCAGGTTTGGTACTCTTAAAATTGTAGCACCGAGAAAGAAAGAAAAACAACAGCTACATAAGGTCTGAGAAGAGTATATCTGGGGGACTTCATAGAGAGCCAATAATAATAATAATGGTCATAAATCCAGCACCTGGCCTATTATGGTGAACTTTTAACTCCTGAGCACTATCAGCGAAAGAAACTCTTACAACTCAGCTAAATCAGTCCCACTTACCTTTAAGTGAAGGCCTGCGTCCTGGAGCAGAAAACAGAGAGAAGAGTGGAAAATGAATCTGACAGGACAAATAGCTCATACATGCCTACCTCATATCACAAGCAAAATTCATTGCAGGTATATTATCAATCCAAATGCAAAAGGTATGCAAACAACAACGTATTAGGGTATCTCCCATCCACCATGCATGGAAAGATTCCTTAACAACCAATTACAAAAAAAAAAAGAAAACAGATTGAAAAATTGGACTCCTTAACAACAACTTATGAAAAAATAAGTTGGAAAAACTTAAGAACTCTAGTCCCCAAAAAGTCACTACTAAGAAAATGAAAAATCAAACATGAGAATGTGAGAAGATATTTGGGTTGGCGAAAAACCTCGGAAGTTTTCCAGGTGAAATCTGAAATTTTTCCCCATAGGCAGAGGGCAAGGAGAGACTGAAGAAAGAAGCAGGCCACTCCAAATTAGAGGTACCAGATTAAAAAGCTAGGGAACTTACTTAGGAGGTTTGTCTTGGACAGCCCCACAAGTAAACGCCCACACCCGCCACCGGTATCTTAAAGCTTATATAGAGGCCTTAACTGGCTTCAGTCACGTCTATACCATCCAGGTGGTTTCAACTACGCATTGCTGTCTCCAGCTGTGTCCTTGAAAAAACGCTCCAGCTGGAAATGGAGGGCACGTGGAACCAACATTCCAACGGTGGGGGAGGGGTGAGAAGCCTCTGATACCCCAGGTGCAGCTCTCGGGTCAACCAGCGGTCATGTCCTCTTGATGACCTCCTCCAACAATTTATAATACATAGAATTGACAAAGGTACATATCCAGAGATATATAAACATTACTCCAAAAATAAATTTTAAAAAGCATAACCCAATACATGTGTAATAAAGTTGAACAGGCGGAGGGCGCCTGGGTGGCTCAGTCGTTAAGCGGCTGCCTTCGGCTCAAGTCATGGTCCCAGGGTCCTGGGATTGAGCCCCACATCGGGCTCCCTGCTCAGCGGGAAGCCTGCTTCTCCCTTTCCCACTCCTCCTGCTTGTGTTCCCTGTCCTGCTGTGTCTCTCTGTCAAATAAATAAATAAAATCTTAAAAAAAAAAGTTGAACAGGCATTTTACAAATAAAAAAGATCTCTAAACTGCGAAAATAAATAAAAGCAATCAACTTTATTAGTACTTAGGAGAAATGCAAATTAAAACAAATGGGATACTGCCATGCACTCATCAGAAAGGTTAAAATTAAAGAGATTTCGAATGCTAAGTATTGGTGAGGATGTGGCACAATGGAAATTCTTACTGCTGAGTGAAAAAGTTAAATCAAGATAATTTTGGAAAGCACTTTGGCAGTATCTACCAAATTTGAATATATACACACACCTTATAACCCAGCAATTTCACTTTTAGGTTTTATCAACCTGACAGAGAAAGGTCTGTATTGTCATCAAAAAAAAAAAAAAAGAGGAATGTGTACAGTATCATTGTATTTGGCATAGCTGCAAACTAGAAACCCAAATGTCTCCAGTAGCAGAACTAATATATAAATTGTGGTATATTCATGCAACGGAATGTTATGTAGCAAGGAGAATGCACATAAACAATTGGTACACAGGTAAAAACCAGAAACAGAAGAATACATAGTGTGTGTGATTCTACTTATATAAACAAAAGTAGCTTAGCTGTGGTGTTAGAAGTCAAGATAGTCAATAGTTTCATAGAAGGGAAGTCACAATGGGAGACAAGCAAGGCTTCTAGATTCCTAGTGGTTTTGTTTTTCACCTGGGTGGTGGTTACACAAGTGTAATCATTTTGTGATAATTCATGATTTGTGTACATTGTCATACATCAAATAAAGTTTTAAAAAATTAATGGTGTGTGAGCAGGAATTTAGGGAAGACTCTCTGAAGAAGCCAGCCCTCCAAAGATCAGGAAAAGCACATTCCTATGACAAAGAAGCTGCTAGTGCAAAGGTTCTAGGTCAAACAACCCCAAGGAACAGAAAGAAAGCTGCCGTGGCAGAGCCTGGGTCCAGGGGAGAGCGTGTTTGAGGCAGAGCAGGCAAGAGCTCCTCTGCAGCCAGGGCAAATTGAGATTTTATACTAAGCATCATTTATTCTGTTTCCAAACAAGGATAATTTTACCTCACAGTTGAGAAATGTAAGGCTTCAGAAGAAAATTCAAGCTAAAGGGATTGAAGTTCAGAATAAATTTATGAAAGCCTAATAAATAGTTTTATGTCCAATAAACAAAATAATAAAATTGATCAAGAACAAAATAAATTTATAAGCTTTTCCCCTTGAAGGCCTTTGCAATAGAGCTATATCTCATAAAGACCCTGTTATTGCCTCTTGGTTTAAATTATGATCCCAAGAAATAGTCAAATTGGGAAGGAAACAACCTTGACTAATTGAGTGACCTTAGGCAAGTCATAACTTCACCGAGCTCTCAGTTTCCTCAACTATAAAATGAAGGGGTTAAGACGTATCTTCTAAGGTTTCCCAGCTCTAAATTCTATTATTCAAAGTCACTTAAATTCTTGCTGCTTTAGTTTTTTGCACAAGAACAATATATTAACAGCTGTTACTGCATGCCTGAAACATTTCCTGGAGGTGTTTTCATTTATTAATTGTAAGATTGGTGATATTGTTACCAACAGTCCTCACTTTAATTTACTGAGTACTAACTCTTCCATTAGGTATTGGAAGCAAGACCCTTCAAGAAGATACTAAGTAAAATGACAAAGTAACAATTCTTAAGGTGAAACATTGATATGGTCAGAGCCCCAAGGTTTATCATTAAATATAGTGACTATTCATCAATAATTTCTCATTCAGACTTCCTAAAAACATTTCTTTCTTAGGAAGAAATTTCAATCAATTGAAAAACTTCTCTTTTCTGGCTTTCTCTTCCATGCTTACAAGTTTTTCTTCCTCATTCATCATTTGTAATAGAATACAACAACGAGGGGGCACCTGGGTGATGCAGTCGGTTAAGTGTCCCACTCTTGGTTGGTTTCGGCTCAGGTCCTGATCACAGGGCCCTAGGATCCACACTCAGCGAGGAAGTCTGCTAAAGTTTCTCTCTCCCTCTCTTCCTACCCCTCACCCTTGCTCTCTCTCTCCTAAATAAATAAATCTTAAAATATATATATATATAATAATGAAGCAAACACTAAGAGATGATTAATAGAAGAAAAATGTGTTTAAAAAGCCCAGTAAGATAGAGAATGTCAAGGCCACTTATTGCAAACCTACAACATTACCTATTTATATACACGATTTAATGTAAATTATGTACACAATTAACTCTGAATGTAGTTAAGTGTTTCCATGTGGGGCTTACAGCATATATAGTCAAACAGGAAAACTAGATTCCTTTGCAGATCTATTCAAAGGAGCTAAGATGGAAGTTGGTCCCCTCTCTTGGTAATTTGAGCAATGGAGAGAGTCTAGTGAGCATGTTTATGAGTGATTCCTGTGAAGGCAAAATAGACCATTTTTTTAATATAAGCTCAAAATTATAGCTATATACATTTGAGACTGTGGGTTTATTATTTGATTCTTGGGATGATAAAATAGTCAAACCAAATATGAAATGAAATGCAGTTATACACAAATATATTTTATAAGCTTGTTCATTTTCTCTACCTAGAGAAATCTACTCCTCTTTTAAAGCGGAGGTGGAATGAGATCTCCTAAATGTCACTTTCTCTACACTCTGGAGACTGAATGAATTACTTCTTCCCTCACACTTTTGCACTGCTGGAATAATATTTATCACATTGCATCACAAATAATTATTTATAGGTCTCTCTATCCTTCTAGATAATGTTTTAAGAAGGCAAAGGCTGTAGATGTTTCATGTTGTATCCTCAGCACCAAATAAAACGCCAGGCTATAAAATAGGTCCCGGCAAAAGTTTGTTTGAATTAATATTGAGCTCTCTACAGAAGATACTTCACAAGTCCAGTGAAAAGGAAATATAATGGAAAGGCAGAGTCCATTAAATTGGCCGTATACCTTCTACTTCTTTTTTTTTAGGCCCTATAACCACAGGCATGGTTTAATACATAACTCAAGGCTACTTCCACCATTAAGATTCTCCTGATTTTTCCAGGTTATAATATCTGCTGCTTTTACTGCACTTCCAAGCATTTTACCTCTACCAAAGCCTTCTCTTACTTGCCTTTTTTCAATTCTTAAAAAAAAATTTTGAAGGGAAAATATCCCATCCTTCATATCTCTGAATATACAATGTCTAACTACCACTGGCCTGGCACATGATACATACTCAGTCCGTGTTTGTTAATTAACAATTTATTAGACTTGAAAATGATTCAAAAGATCATAGATTGCATCATTTCCATTGTAACCAAGATGAAGGCCAGAGTGGTCTTAGGAGCCTTTTGTCTTCCTGATGAGTCCTTCCATTACATCCCACTGCTCCTTGGTAACCTAACACAAACAGAAAAAGGCAATTTTATATGGTTCTTGCCTATTTTTAAAGCTTGGTATCTTAGCTGCTAATATTATATTATATTCATAAAATGGCATTACCTTCCTCAGACTGTTGAATTCCCCTGAAATAAATACTTGCTCTCCACCATCAAATCTAATGACCTGAAAAAAAAAAAAAAAAAAACTCTGAAACTAACTCCTTTTGAAAAGTTTCTGAACCATTAGCCATTTTCCCATCTTAATTGAATAGAACATCTCCTTGGCACTTTCAATCAAAACCCAAAGTTTGAAAAGAAAAGTCATGATTAAACTTAATCTGATTTACTCATTTTAGAATCCTCTTTCCCCCATCTCCACAATTTCAAATTCTACCCAATAGTAAAGATCATCTGGCATGTCTACCAGAGTAATTGGCATTTGATAAAATTAATTTATCTACAAACAAATTCCATAGCCTAAACAATCTGTATTAATATTTTTATATTATTTACAGCCTAAAAATTATTTTAAATCATATTTATATTCAATATTGTCAGGAATGGTTCCACAAAATGCCTTCTCACCCCAAATCCACCTCCCCAAAAAGTCAAGAGAAAACAATACTTACTGCCCCATTAATCCAAGAAGCATAATCACTACAAAGGAAAGCAGCAAGATTTGCAAGTTCTTCCACAGTTCCTAGCCGACCACAAGGAATTCTAGCAATCACTTCTTTCTCAAATGTTCCGGTTGGGTCAAGACGACTAAAGGCACCCTTAAAAATTAAGAAAATAGTTAGGTTGCATTAAAAAAATTTAAGAAGCAAGTCTGCATAAAATGGAATATTACTATGGCAGCCTGTTCATACCCCAGGCCTTGTAAACAATAGAGAATTTTGCCAAATTCTTCCAGAGTCATGTCAGCTCAAAACAGGTCATTTTACCTAATACTGACTAAAAAAATCACCAGAAAATATAACCTTTTTACCTTCACCTATAAAATGAGATCTGTCTTTAGCTACCTCACAAAATTGTTGTAAGAATTAAGTGAGAAAATGTATATGATAGTACTCTGAAATCTGTACATGCTTAGTGTGGTGGATACAGTGGTACTGATGATGTTTGATTGAATAATCACAGAAAAGTGACTCAAGTAGGAAAGCTTTAAAAGGAAATTCCTTTTCTTCTTTCTTCTCAAAACAATTAGAAAGGAAGAAAACAAGTATGTAGGGATATTAAATACAAGTAGATCCTTGAGAAAAAAAAAAAAAAACCCCTGTAACTAAATTTGCCAACCAATGTCTGCCTTCTGTTAATGATGTGAAGGTGCAGACCAAGATGAAGTATGCATGTGCACTGATTTTAAAAAAAGGAGTAGAAGAAGGTGAGAGACAGAGCAAGCTCTCAAGAGGCTCCTTGTGAGCCCTCCAGCCCTCCTGCCCTCCCTGGGCGGGTATAAACTAGCAGAGACAAAGAGCAGCAACAGGTCCTGATCCTGGCTCTGTCGGGATTGCTATGGAGTTTCTACACTTCCGTTTTCTTTTAATCTCTTTAAAGCTACATGCTTGTTACTTGTGTACAACGGATTCCTGTACTGTTACACTGTAAACTCCTTGATATGACAAGTACTCTGTAACAAATGCACCTTCAGTACCTTCCCACATAGCAGTCCCTCAATAAGTATATTTTAAATAAATAAATAAATAAAATGCAGGTGATCTCTCCTGGAGATTGAGGTCCTAAAAAGAAGCTTCTGTGACTCCAGGTTTCTCTTCAGAGAGTGCTCAGCACAGGGCTGCCCTGACTCATGTGCTTTAATGTATGCTTTTGAGTTATTTTCCCATTAATTGTATTAGATTCTTTATTATTGGAGTGTCAAACAAGATAATCAAGATTCACTCACTCAAGTAGTTCTTCTTCCCATTTTCCACCCTTTAAACTGCTAAATAAACGAATGCAGCCATGTCCATGTAACACCCAGAACTACCTACAATCCAAATGCTCCTCCGCACTATTTTCTAACGTTATTTATACAACCAAAACAAGTTATCATACTTCACCTAGGCCTTCGGAGCTACAGGTCAGTTGGGATTGTAAATTCTTGCTTTACATAAAAACAAAAAGTAAGAGTGAAGTTATCTGGGGCAATGTGAGAGAACACAGAACCTGTGGGCCTTCTAACTATAAGAGCATTAGTGATCATTATGAGTTGCAATGAGTATCTGTAAGCATTACTGACTAGAGGAGAAAAGCATGCCATCAGAAAGATTTGTAATCAGAGAGAAATGGGAGTTAAATGACATGCATAATTGTTTGCAAGTGAAAGGCACAGATAGGAGTCGAAGAAAATGCTAACTATAGCAAGACCAAGCCTGTATGACAACTTTCTAGAACATCTCTTAAAATAAAAATATACTTACATTTCTATGAACTAAAAAAGAGACGTCAAAGTAAGAATCCATAAAATATGGTGAGGATTAAGAAATATAGGTTAATAACAGATTACTGAAGCAAATCAGACGAAATACCAAAATGGATGGCACAAAAGATCCCAGAAGATTAAGACATTGAAACAGATCTTATCAAGAAGTTACATAGCTGTTGTATTCCTGCCCACCTCCTTATTTATATTGGATAATGATAAAGCCCACTACCCTAACACTGGGGATCCAAACTCAGGCATCTCTGACAAGTCCTGCACACAACAGTCAGTCAATATTTCATTCCTTAATCATTCAGGAGATAATAGGCAAACTAAAACTTACTTTTGTTTTTATAGGCCCTGGTTGAATCACATTAAATCACAGTCCATATTTACCCCATTCAGCTGCAAGAAACCTAAAAATTAAAATAAACACCAATATTTTAATATTCTAAAATATTATACTATATGTCAAAAATACTAATAATGCAGACTCACTGCATGCTTACTATATGCCAGAGACTACAACCCCAACAAGTAGGTACTATTATCATTCCTCATGTTACAGACAAGGAAACTGAGGCACAGAGAGATTAAGTCACTTGCTCTGAGTCATATGGCTAGTGACAAACCTCAAGTGGTCTAGTTCCAGAGTTTGTGCCTTCAATGACTCTGCTGTAATATCTACCATTTGTATCTTAGTGTCCTTAATCACAATGCTATACGACCTACCACTTACATTTTAGAATTAAGTCTAATAACAAAATACATTTTTAGAATAAGTATCCTAATTTAGCATAAAGAGGTGAGAGAATCATGCCCCTCCCCCACATTTTCTGGAGTTCAGTGCAACATGTACTACTTATATATAGTACATTGCATTACAATGTTTGCAACATCATGAGTACTTTTAAGCAAGAGATGGATTACATAGATATAAAATATTAACTGCATCCATGTTTAACGAGGCTTTAATAACATTGCTGCACTGCACTCAAAGGGAAATAGGAATCTAACAAAATCTTACTAAATATCGAGAAGCAAAATATAACAATAATAGCAAACATGGAAACATGAAGCAATCTGTTTTAAAAGTCTACTTGATAGACAGGTCTAACTTTTATTATCTAAACTCGTTTTAGGACTTTATACTCATATGTACCTCTGTGTGTATATATACTGAATCTCGTTTTAAAAAATGACTTAAGGTAACAACTTTAAAAAATACATATAACGTAAATGAGGAAGATAAAATCGTTTAAAGGAAAGAGAGACACAGACAAAAGAAGGAAGCAGGAAAGGAGAAAGGAATTGAAAAATGGATAAGGAAAGATAAAGGAGCCAAGAATGGAGCTAATACCTAAATGTTTTGTGCCATTCTATACAATCACAATAGGTGGGTCACAAATTTGCATCCATTCTTTCCAAGATGCAATGCAAAAAAGGTAAGCCCTAATCAGCTACACACTTTGCAGTGCCCATGAGGGAAAGGCAAGGCAATTTCAAAGAAAAAGCACAATTGTTCCTGATAAAAAAAAAAAAAATTTCTTTCAAGAAGACTTCTAAAATGAAAACTGTATAAGACAGTAAGACAATACTGTGTCCTTGCAATAGATACAAAGAGATAAGTCTTATGAAACTGTAACATACCAATTAATATAGTCTGACAAGATCACTTCAAAGGCCAATTCAGCAAAACTCATTCTATATGATAGGGGGCAAGTGCTCCAAGTACAGTCTGTTAATCTATCTTACTCCATGGATGCATTTTAGAGAATGGGTAGACTGCATCTCTTTCAGGCAAATCATACATAAAAATTGCTTCTGAGTGACGCTTTTGACAGAATTCATGACTATACCTACCCTTGGCACCTACTTGTAGTGCACCTGCTCCAAACTGCTAGGGAAGTAGCAACTTCAGGTCTTAACAGAATTACAAGCTGAGCACAGTTTATGGTTTCCTGTGAAAAACTGAGCAACCTATTAAGGAAACCTGCCTAGAGGAAAAGCCATCCTATCTCTGCTCAGAGGTGCAACAGATACACTTTTTCCAGTCCTAGCTCTCGTTAAATTAGCTTATATTCTGAAGAACTACCATAACATGATAACAAATCCACCTCATTAGCTTGTTTTGCATGTTAAATTAGCTTATATTCTGAAGAACTACCATAACATGATAACAAATCCACCTCATTAGCTTGTTTTGCATGTTGAGATACAAAGCACAATACACCCGATATATGTCAGCCATTGTGTTGTTAAATCAACAGATGCTTATTGTGTATTTACTATGTGTTAACCTTTTATAAGTGTTATTTACCCTCAAAGGAAGGCACTCTCTGCCTCTCAAGACAGCAGTCCTTCTCTCTCAAGGGAGGTTAGCTTAGTTGTATAATAAACTAGTTACTGTGCTGGGAACTGTGTAATGTGCACCATGACTGCTTATAGGAAAAAGTACCCTAAGTCTACTGAGAGTAAGAGGGAAGTCTTCCTGGAAGAGGTGATATTTGAGTTGACACTTGAAGAAGGATTAGGAGTTTATTGTGGGAAGCAAGGGGGAGGAAAAGAGGATGGGAGATAATAGGGTGTCGGATGGAGAAAAAAGACAACGCAGGTATATGGACCAGTATGAGTAAAGGACAAAGGTACAAACAACATGCAGTATTTGGTGATCTACAAGGCCTCATCCAGTATGACTGTGTCCTATAAAGTATGAGAAGAGGATTGACGGGAACTCAGGCTGGAGAGTAAGTAAACATTTACCGAGTATCTACTCCATGCAATATGCTATGCAATAAAACAAAACAAAACAAAACAAAAAACAAGCAGCACAGAATCACAGTTCTTAAAGGACACGACACTGAAACCTCTAAGATCAAAGGTCCCAACAAGACAAATACTGATACTGTACAAATGATGCCAAAATAGTCAAGTTCTAATTCCTATTTCCAATGCCACCTGACATTAAAAAAGTAATTACCTCTATTTACACTAAGATTCCACTGCTAAGTATAGTAATACGTCTTTTTATCTCAAATAAATATGTGTTACTGATTTCAATGTTGAAAAATACTTTAGGACTACTGGAAGAAAAGAACAATGATGTTTTGGCAAACACTGAGCATCAGCCACGCACCAGATCTTGCTGAGAAATAAGTATACTGAGATGAATAAGGTATGGTCCCTCCCTCACGGAACTCACATCCCAGTGGGGAGGTCACATAGCTTTAACAATATGTTCGAAAACAGCCTTGCATGTCCTTCTCTGTGTCCTTACCATATTGGTACATGACCTTCATTTTAGAATCTATAACAATGGATAGCATTTATTTATTAGTGTGTTAGTCTCACTAGATTGGAATAAACAAAGTTTTAAGGGTGCACAGAGCAGAGAATAACTAATTCTGTTCTAAAGCAATGAGAGAAAACCTTCTAGAGGAGGTGATATGATGAGAGCCTTGAAAGCAGGGAAAATATCACAGCAAATTCCAACAGCAGCATAGGCCAGACATAGAGAGATGAAAACACACAGCATATTTAAGGAAATACAGAGCAGTTCAATAGAGATTAAAACACAAGAAAAACAGTATAATGCTATCCACTCAGGGGAGGATGAGAACTATTCTACTTCTATCAATAACCTATCCCTGGACCTAGCTCAGTGCCAGGCACACAAAAGGAACGCAATAAACATTTATCCAATTAATCAATGAATAAACGAAGGCCAGGGACAAGTTTATTTAGAATACCATACTAAGGTTTGGCTTTTATTCCAAATAATAATGAAAAAATGATCTAAGATTTTAGCTAGGGAGTATCATAAGCAGACATATTTTTAGAAAGATGATTCTGGTGGGAAGATGAATAAAAAATAAAGAGGGAAGAGACTGGTAGCAGAGAAACACATTATAGGGTTATTACAGTAAGCCATGATGAGAACCTACATTATAACAAAGACAGTAGAAAAGGCCAATGGGGAATAGATTTGAAAAGCAATCATATGCTGCTGAGAAAAGGCCACAAGATCTGGCAAGTGGTCACTGGTTTATGTTAGTCCTATTAATCTTACACAGCAGGTACAATATAAGGATGGAGGTGTGTTTAACACAAATCAGAAACAGCACCGATAAAGATATATGGGAGAGCAAAAAGGCTATAGTCCTGTGCTATTTCATATGGCAGCTACTAGCTACATTTGGCTATCTAATCTTAATTTTAAAGTAATTAAAATTAAATAAAATTTAGTTTCTCAGTGACAGTAGCCACAATTCAAGTGTTTCATATGTGGCAACTGGATAGGGTAGATTTATAAAACATTTCCATCACTGCAGAAAGTCCTATTGGACAGTGCTGATATAGACAAATAAGACTTATCCAAGAGCTAGAACGTCTGTTTCCAAGTGAATCCAAGTTAATCTTTGTTTTACTTTTCTCTGGATGGAGACTAGAAAGGAGAAATTAAGCTCCATGAACTACCAAAGTACATTATCTATCTCCGGTACTGGGATTATCATAGTAGTACTCACTTGCTCATGGCTTCCACTCCTGCTTTAGCAGAAGCACTTGGTACTACAAAACCTGACCCACTTTCAGCATAGATGGTTGTAATAGCAAGAAATGCTGCTCCTGAAATTTGAAAAGGATATAGTAATTAACAATACAGCTAAGTCAATTCACATCAGGAAAATATGATTTACAAGGATAGGATCTGATTCAAGAGGATTTAACAAAAATGTAGCATTTTTTAAACTTCAGTAGCCCTAAATTAATGAGAGAGTAATCTAATAAAATTGCTAATCTTGCTGTCATTCAAGATGGCCCAGTCTGTGCTTACCTGAAATCCTATGGCAGGTGAGTCAAGACGGTGACCCAAAACTCAGAGGCGCGGCCCTATAACCCCCTGCATAATCAGCTGGATGGGATTTCCATTAACTAAGCACCCACTTAAATAAGAATAAATCAGGGACACCTGGGTGGCTCAGTCGGTTAAGCATCTGCCTTCAGCTCAGGTCATGATCCCAGGGTCCTGGGATGAGCCCCACATTGGGCTTCCTGTTCAATGGAGAGCCTGCTTCTCCCTCTCCCTCTGTTATTCCCCCTGCTTGTGCTCTCTCTCTCTCTTTGACAAATAAATAAATAAATAAAATCTTAAGAATAAATTAGAATCAAAACTATATGAGCAGGGACTTGACCAATTCCAGCCATGATGGACTTGCCCTCCCCCTGTAAACAGCAAGAAAACTGTGTAAGATATATAATTATATGATACAACTATTTTTAGATACTGTACAGCAAGCAGGGAAGACAATGATCCCTGAGAGAAGAAAAATGAAATGAGCCCTAAGGTCACCCCAGATTTTTGCCTAAAGGTACTATACATATACTATATACTACATAATATACTATGGTATAAACTACAAATATACACATACTGTATATATATGTATATACATACACATACTGTACACTATATAGACTGTGAGATAAGGAGGAGAAATACGAGCAAAACACAGCACTCTCACTGAGTTGAGGAGATGGAGATCAGAGTTTGGGGAGACTGAGCAAGTTGGAATTTGTGAGGAGAGTTTCCCCAGGGAGGGAAGTATGCAGAGATAGAGCTCCATAAATCTGGAGAGTATCTCCTCGAGTCTTTGGCCAAATATCAAGCTGTACATGTTTAGGGGGAGATTTCATTAGACCAGGCAAAGAACCGCCAGGGAGCCATAAGCTGAACAATTTCCAGAGCTCACATAGGCTGGGAGATGAGTGAGTTCTAGGCAGCTTCACTGAACATCCAGGACTTTCAGTGGAGAATTCAGAAAGGCCAGGCCTTGTTAGGAGAGTTAAATTAGGGGCACCTGCGTGGCTCAGTTGTGAAGTGTCTGCCTTCGGCTCAGGTCATGATCCCAGGGTCCTGGGACTGAGCCCCACATCGGGCTCCCTGCTCCCCGGGAAGCCTGCTTCTCCCTCTCCCACTCCCCCTGCTTGTGTTCCCTCTCTTGCTGTGTCTCTCTCTGTCAAATAAATAAATAAAATCTTTAAAAAAAAGAGTTAAATTAGCTCAAAAGTAAAGGCTACTCTAGATGTACCCAAATAAAGCTTAAAAATGAACACTGAAATGATGGAGCTGATCCACAAGTAACTTAACTATATGCTAAAATAAAATTCAAAACACTTCAAAGGAAAATTTTAATACACATACAACACTCAACAACATAACATTCATAGCTCTCAATCAAAACTTACTACACAAAAAAGACAGAAGCGTAACTGGGAGAAAAATCAGTTAATAGAAAGAGCCTCAGAAATAACAGAAAAGATGGAATTAGCAGACGAAGACCTTTAAAATGATACTGTAAACATGCTAGAAGATTTCAAGGAAAATGAGTATAATAAGTAAAATGCAAAATGCAAAAATAAAACCAAATAGAAGTTCTAAAGCAAAAAAATACAATATCTAAAGTGAAAAATTAAATGCATGGGCTTAGTTGTAGAAGAAAAGATATATGCTCTTGAAGACAAAGCAACACCTATCATTCAAAATGTAGGACCAGCGGAAGGAAAATAGTTGGGAAGGGAAAAAACCAACCAGAGCTTCAGTGAGTTGTAGAACAGTATCTAGCATGCTAACATGTGTACAGTTGGTGTCCCAGAAGGACCAGAAGGAAGGGGCAGAAAAATCACTTGGAGAAACTTGTGGAGAAAAAATCACTTGGAGAAAAAAAAGTCTGAAAATTTTCCATATTTGGCAAAAACTATAATCCATAGATCTAGGGTGCTAAACAAATCCTAGGCAGGATAAATACAAAGAAAACCATACCAGGGCATATTGTAATCAGTCACTCAAAAACAAGGATAAAGGGAATATTTCTTTTTTTCAATGTTATTTTAAATAATCTCTATACCCAACGTGGGGCTTGAACTTACAAGCCTGAGATCAAGAGTCACCTGCTCCACCAACTGAGCCAGCCAGGCACCCAAAAGAGAAAATCTTAATAGCAATCAGAGGAAACAGAAAACAACATAAATAAGGGAACAGATAATAAAAATATTCACTGACATCATCAGAAACAATGTTAGCTAGAGAACAATAGAATGATAACTTGAAGGTGCTGAAAAAGAAAAAAAAAACAAAACCTGTTAACCCTGAATTCAGTACACAGCAAAAATAGCCTCAAAAATAAAAGTGATATTTTCTGATAAACAAAGGCTGCAAGAATTCAACACCAGCAGATGTGCACTACAAGAAATACTGAAAAAAGTTCTTTAGGTGAAATGAAAATGATAGTAAATAGAAACTCAAATCTTCAGATGAAATGATGGCTGTCAGAAACAGTAAATGTGTCAGTAAACATTTACATTTTTTGTTTTCCAAATTGCTTTTGAAAATAACTGACTGTATAAAGCTATATTAAAAAGTGACACCAAACTTACAGTAATCAACAGTGCTTGGGACATAATAGGTTCTCAATAATTGAATGAATGAATGAAAGTTTAAAATAATAATCTTTAGCTGCTAAGAAATCAGTGATTTTCTATTTCTTAATTAGCCTCTACACTAGAAAATATTGCAAGTTTAATATTTGCAAAAGATGAAACTATATATATTTTATAAAGCAGTACATACTTTAAGAAATTTAAAGGACTACAAGTTTGAAAGATAAGAAAAATAATTTGAAGAATATTCAGATACATTTTATTCCTCCTACAAAAATATTTAGTTTCTCTTCCCCTCTGCATTTTCCAAAATAGTAACAAAACTCTGCACATCCTGGATGACATGAGGGGTGAAAAGTGGGGCAGGAGTGCCATTTTGAGAGTATGAGAAATAAGAATGGTTAATCATTATGGTAACTCCTTTTTATATCAAACTCTGTTTCTTTCAGAGCTCTGAAAATTACTTTGCTTTCAAAATCACTCTGTGGAAAAGGAGGGATGTAGAACAATCGTGTACACAATTACAGAACATTGACAAGAGATGCTTTAACTGCATCACTCTTACAGCAAAATCATAAAAACTACTTTAAAAAGTGATAATTACTTATATAAAGCAAATGCTGCAGTAGAAAGTGCTCTAACTTCTGATTCAGATTTAACAAATGTTTATTCAGGCGTGAAAGAGGAAGAATTAAACCATTTTATATAATTCAGATACTGAAGTTGAAAGACACTGTTCTCTTCTTTCTCCCTTTAGGTTTTATTTTCTCAGCCTAGAAGATCTGGGTCGCCCACGGCTTAGAATGAGACAGCACTGCCTCTGAGTGTAAGAAGGAGGTAAAACTTTGAAACTGTACTATCCCAATTGGGTTAATGCTGCAGAGTAGAACAACACAGCTGGACTTTAAAGAACGAACAGTGGTAGAGCGCCTGGGTGTCTCAGTTGGTTAAGTGTCCGACTCTTGATTTTGGCTCAGGTCATGATCTCAGAGTCCTGGGATAGAGCCCCATCTTGGGCTCTCGACTCAGCGTGGGGTCCGCTTGAGGATTTCTCTCTGTTTCTTTCTGCCCCTGCCCCACGCATGCACACTCTCTAAAATAAATGAATAAATCTTAAAAAAAAAAAAATGAACAGTGGTGCTAAAAGCTCAAAAATAAAGAATTCTCAGATTCCCAGGGTTAGTCATAGATATATTTTTCTTTTTGAAGAAAGGCCAATTCTTTAATTTTTATGTTTTTATTTTTTCATTTTTTAAAGATTTTATTTATTTATTTATTTATTTGTCAGCGAGAGAAAGAGTGAGTATGAGCAGGGGGTGTGGCAGGCAGAAGGAGAAGCAGGCTCCCTGCTTAGCAAGAAGCCTGATGCAGGATTTGATCCCAAGATCCCGGGATCATGACCTGAGCCGAAGGTAGACACTTAACTGACTAGCCACCCAGGGATCCCAAGGCCAATTCTTTAAATTAGAATAACTTCCTATAGAAGAGGTTTGGAAATGCCAAATTTCTAACATCCCAGTGCAGAAAAGCAGAAATGAATCTGTTATTTATTGGGGGCAAGTAAATGGAGAAAGGGAGCAATAGCCTGTCATTTTTTTTTTTTTTTTGTAGAAAATGGTTTATCTATTCCATTTTTTTGTATAAAACACACGGGAGAAACCTAGCCAGTCAACACACAAGTGCTGCCACATGGAAAGGTACTTTATCAAACTTTGAGCCTAAGAACGTACAAATGTCTCTTACCACGTCTAACAGGAACTATCTAGGCTTTTCCGTCCACCTCTTTTTAAAATTCCACATATCCCCATTATTTCTTCTGTCCCAGGTATAGTACAATGACGAGGAGGAAGAGGGTTAGTTAAAACAATGCTCTAATGGTTTTCTGCTGTCCCTTCTTTCCAGTCAGAGACTTGTGGATGTCTGGGATTACACCACCCCCAGTGATGGGAGCCGTAATAAGAGAATCCAACTCTTCATCACCACAGATTTTAAGCTGCAAGTGGCTTCATTACTTAAAAACAGTAAAAAATAATAACAAAGAAACACTAAAAATCACAGTCCAGAGACAGCTGGCTGGCTCAGTCAGTGGAGCATGTAACTCTTAATCTCTGGGTTGTAAGTTTGAGCACCACGTTAGGTGTAGAGATTACTTAAAAATAAAATCTTTAAAAAAATCACATTGTCTATTA